GATAGATAGATAGATAGATAGATAGATAGATAGATAGACAGACAGACAGACAGACAGACAGACAGACAGGCAGATAGATAGATAGATAGATAGATAGACAGACAGACAAATAGATAGATAGATAGATAGATAGATAGATTTCTCTATTTAATCTCTTAATTATTATTACAGTTTACAAATAAACAATATTCAACAAACTAAAATAGATCAAAACATTCCTTTTCCAGGTTGATGGACTCAAACCCGTGCTGAACCCAAACCAGATGACGTCTCCTCCCCAGCTCTCCTCTGATTGGTCGAACCTGTCGTCATTCAGTGCAACGCATGTCGTCACACAGAAACCAAAGGAGGCGGTCAAAACAAGATGGCGTTCCGCGATGAAGCAGGAAATATACTCGGTTTTCAGTAAATCTCCTCATCTGAGAGCGTCGACCGGAGCTTTTATGTCCAAGGACAAGTGAGAGACCTATTTGGAGACTGAAGACAGAGCAGATACTGGTAAGGACACCGGTGGGACACGCAGGGACAGTTTGAGGGGCGGTGGCAGGGGAAGTCGGGCCCTGTTAGGTCGCTTCGCTAACCTGAACTGAAACAGAACTAGACAGTTGTTTTTAACCAAACGTCTACATTCACTTCCGTGCTTGTTTAGTTCTTAAGTACCAGCTCTTTGGTTTTAGGTCTTAAATATTTGAGTTATTTGATTGAAATGACTGGCAGAAAAGGAGAAAATCGTAGAAGCTTGGTAAGGAGCCAGGGAGAAATATGTAATCATCATCATCATCATCATCATCATCATCATCATCATCCAGTTTCAAAATAAACTAACTTGTCGCAAGACTGTCTTTTCAGTAACAGTTGTATCTAAAGATTTATTGTTGAAAATGAGCTGGTATAGGACTCATCTAGGTTGCTGTCTGAATGAATTTCTCGTTGTCTTTATTATTACGCAACACATCTGTTAGCTGTATGTAGTTAACAGACTGGTTATGATTTTTTTTCCCCTGATCAGCTGCTATGCTTTTTATGTAAGAGATCGTGGGTGGTGAAATGACCTCAAAAGCGGTTTTATCAGCCTATTTGTCAGCATGTGATATACTTTTGTGCTAGTTCCCTAGTTATCATCACATAGATTATCAGTTGTGCTTGCTTTATTGGTATGTTTTAGGTGGTAAACTTACTGTAAATGTAGAAGCGTATCTGTTTACTGTTTCACTTCAAGGAAGTCCAAGAAATGCTTGTAATTTAATGCTGTTGGACACCGCTGTGTTTTCTAGTGATCTGCCAATGTTTTTCTCTCATCAATTTTCAGAAGTATCTGATTACCAATATGGATACACATTTTTATTAACTTTTTTTTAAAATCATCATTAGACAACAACAAAAACATTGTTAAAATGTTTTGAAACTAATTAAACAATAATAATAATTATTATTTGTTGCTTTCCCATATTTCTTTTGGGAATGTCTAACTGTTAGGATTACAATGCTATACATTTCATACAATTTATGCAAGAAGTATGCTAAATACATTTGTGAAGCTATGTTATATATTTGAAAAGAGACAGTATAATGTTGCAAAAGATATTTCAAGTAAATGATCGTCTTTTCAACTAGAGTAGAGTGATGGCTGCTGAAATAACATTTTAAAAATACATGATATTAAAATGTATTACGTTAGGGTTAGGAGTCATATTTCACAAATTGCAGATTTTACTATATTTTTAATCAAATAAATACAGCGTTGGAAAGAGCGATTCAGAATTTTACTGGTAGTTTATATATAGGTCAAACAGATTACTGGTCATATCTGTAATGTTTTTAATTGGTTATGACATATTAAGATCAAAAGTTAGATTACTACACACGTATATTAGCCAATGAAGTTTATTTAAATAACATATTTCGATAGTGACACAAATAACTTGGCATAATGACAAGCAACCAATTCTGTTGTTATCTTAAACACAGTTCTGTCTTTCTTGTATTTATCAACCAATTTTGACAGATTAAAAAGATATCTGAAACCTTGCTTGTTAGTTATGAAGGATTGGATATTGATTGTAATGTTTAGGCTATGTTTAAAAATGGAACCTTCTGTAGAGGAAAGTGTAGGGATGGAAAAAATAGGTAACTGACTGCAGTTTGTATGAATTTATGTTGTTTGTCTGTTTCTTTAGTTACTCTAAATGGCTGCGAGGAAGTCTGGATCAGATATCCACAACAATGGTGAGTAAATCATTTGTCGAAAATAAAAATAGGCTACAGAATAAATAACCCATTTAAAAAAAAATGTTTCCCATGTTCTTCTGTTACTTCACTCGATGTTCAAGGACCCGTCAGCTACCTTGATGATGTTCCTTTCAAGCTCAATGAAAAGTTCCGCTGTCCCTCAAAAGTGGGTCTTCCCATTGGCTTCTGTTTGTCTGATTGTAATGCCATACTTTCGGATCTGCAAGTAAGTCAAATTTCCCTTTAACGTTCCCTATCCAAATGTTTGTCAGAAATAATTAACGCTTTGCTTTTTTCTTCAGTATGACTTTAGTCTAGAGAGGCGGAGTGTTCAGTGGGGGGAAGAACTTGCCAAAGCGCGAGCTGCTGAGGCTCGAGCAGCGGAAGCCGCCCGGACAGACTCTGAAAACGAAAGGCAGGCTGCTGCTCAGGAAGCAGATGTTGGATTGGTTGGGGGGAAGAAAGCACGCCCCTCTGATGAGCAGGACGTTGTCCCACCAGCATTGAACCCGGTTTTAGCTGGCCTACGGCATAACGCAATTCTCACGCCTCTCCCAGCCCCATCTTTTGGACCGACACGACCAGCACCTAGCAACCCGGCTCCACAGAGTCTGAACTTAGCTGACTTTGAGCGAGAGGAGGACCCTTTTGACAAACTTGAGCTTAAAACACTGGACGACAAAGAGGAGTTGCGGAATATTCTGCAGAGCCAACCACAGTCGTCCGTTTCACCGCCTCAGCTTCCTCCAGCAGAACATCGCCCCACTTCTCCTAGTAATATGCCTCCTCTTCAGGCCAAAGCAGGAATCTTCCATAAACCCAATGGACTGGTTGGACTGCTGGACTTGGACCGGGGTGGGGTTGTGGGGACCCCCCATGGACAGATTGATGCAGACCGCCCATGTAACATTCGCTCACTGACTTTCCCTAAGCTTTCAGACCCAGGAGACTCCCCCTTGGAACCGTCTTTCAGCATTTATCCAGCAGGCCAACAACGTAGCCTATCCAATGGCACACCACCGTCCCTGCAGAGAACAGCATCAGATACCAACACAACACTCCCACAAGAGCAACCTGTCTTCCCTCAGAATGGGACACAGAAGCAGGTATTGTAACATGGGCGGAAACATTTGCCTGTCAGGGCTGATTGTTAGCATGTAAAATAGCTAATGCTCATCGGAAAGGCATGTCTGTGGTGACATTTTGCAAAATTATCTTGCATAGCTTCTTCTGTGTTTTGCCTCAGTTTCAGAGTGAAATTTTCAGTGAGTAGCACAAAGTGTGTATTCCAAAACAGATTAATGTGGATTTGGCAACAATTTATTATGTTGGGTGTTATGTATTGCAGCAATTTGGAAATGAAATATCTGGTGAGTGGCACCAAAAGGTTAAAGGGTTAGTTCACCCAAAAATTTTAATTCTGTCATTAATTACTCGCCCTCATGTCGTTCCAAACCTATAAGACCTTTGTTCGTCTACGGAACACAAATTAAGATATTTTTGATGGAATCTGAGAGCTCTCTGACCCTCCATAGACAGCAAGGATATTACCACGATCAACGCACAGAAACGTAGCAAGGACATCGGTAAAATAGTCCATGTGACATCAGGGGTTCAACCGTAATTTTACGACGCTACGAGAATACTTTTTCTGCGCAAAGAAAACAATAATAACATAATTTATTCAGTAATTCTTCTCCCCGAGTTACCGTCTTTCACCATTTTGGAGAGTACCCCAGAATGTTATCAACGTAATCAGCGCTACGTTCAGTAGACAACGGAAGACGGTAACTCGGGGAGAAGAATTGTTTAATAAATTGTTATTATTGTTTTCTTTGCGCACAAAAAGTATTCTCGTAGCTTTGTAAAATTACGGTTGAAGTGTGACTTGTGTTTGACGGGACTCGTTCCACATCACAACTGCAATGCTGTACCAGG